AAGGGAGAGAAACCCTTTACATGTTTGAACTGTGGGAAAAGTTTCAGTGAGAGCTCAAGCCTTATTAAGCATGGGAGAATCCACACGGGAGAGAAACCTTATAAATGCTTGGACTGTGGGAAAAGTTTCAGTCAGAGCTCTGGCCTTATTAGCCATGGGAAAATCCACACAGGAGAAGGACCATATAAATGCCTTGAGTGTGGGAAAAGTTTCAGTGCACCATCAACCCTTATTATACATCAGAGAACCCACACCGGGGAGAAACCTTATAAATGCTTGGACTGTGGGAAAAGTTTTAGTCGGACCTCAGGCCTTATTAGCCATGAAAGAATCCACACAGGAGAGAAACCCTTTAAATGTTTGGACTGTGGGAACAGTTTCAGTCAGCGCTCAAGCCTTATTAAACATGGGAGAATCCACACGGGAGAGAAACCCTTTAAATGCTTGGACTGTGGGAACAGTTTCAGACAGCGCGCAAGCCTTATTATGCATGGGAGAATCCACACAGGAGAGAAACCCTTTACATGCTTGGACTGTGGGAAAAGTTTCAGTCAGCGCTCAAGCCTTATTAAGCATGGGAGAATCCACACGAGGGAAACCCCATAAATGCTTGGATGAAGGGAAAAGCTTCAGTCCCAGCTCATAACTTCATAAACGTCTGAGAATCCACATGGGACAGAATCTATAAATGCTTTGACTGTGGGAAAAGTTTCATTTGAAGATCAAACCTTGCTTGACATCAGACAGTCCACACAAGAGGGAGAACTCATAAATGCTTGGATTGTGGGAAAAGCTTCAATAACTGCAGGAAAAGATTCAGTGTGAGCTTACACATTATTCCTTATCAGATAATTCACAGAAGAAAGAGCTTGAATTGGGGGAAGCTTCATTTGGTGCTCACAGGGCATCAAGCGTCAGCAAATCCACACAGGGAAGAGCCTCTCGGATGTCCTTAGCACGAAAAATGCTTAGTTGGAGCTAACACCACATTGGACAGCAGAGACTCCTCCACAAAGGAGAGAAATTCTCTCAGTGCCCTGACTAGGGCTAGCCATAGTGAAAACTCCATTTCCTAATTCCCACACACAGCAGTGGCATTTGGCTCTCAAGTTTCCAACTGCCCGTCTCTAGGGGCAGGTTCCAGCAGCAGCTGATCAGTGACCTCCTGGCTTTGCCTGGTCTAAGCAAACCCCAGGCAGAGGAGGAGAAGTCCCGATCAGCCCCTCCTCCCTGCTGCAGCCCTGGCTGCTGAACTGATGGGCCTTCCTGCCTCCTGGTAACTTGCTGGGGGAAGGGAGAGAGAAACTGCTTGTGACACTACACCCCATATTCTTCACAGTACTATTACTATGATATTATTATGGCATAATTATGATGCATTTTGCACAAGAGGGGTCATGTAAAATGTCATTGGATAAGTTCTGATTTGCTGAATATGAATATCCTATTTGTACGCATGTATCATTTTGGTATCTGAAGTTATGAATCATGACTATGGCCTTGTCTACACTGGCACTTTACAGCGCTGAAACTTTCTCACTCAGGAGTGTGAAAAAAACTCCCCCTTGAGCGATGCAAGTTTCAGCGCTCTAAAGTGCCAGTGTAGTGGCACCAGGGCTGGGAGCCATGCTCCCAGTGCTGTTAGCTGCCCCTCATGGGGGTAGTTTTTTTAGAGTGCTGGAAGAGCCGCAGCAGTTGTTAGTGTAGACAAAGCCTTTGTATCTTTATTTCAAATATAGTTACACCTGGGTGACACTCACTAGGCAAGATGCTCCCAGTCTAGACAGCTGGTTAGGAAGGGCCTATATTAGGTAATGAGCCATCGGGGGAAACAATAGGCCTTAGGAGAATCTCATCCCCCCACCTGGTGAGCCTTCCTGAGTATGCTCCAGACAGCCTATGAGTAATGAGTGCTATGACTCAGCAAGGTATGGAAGGGCATGTGACCAGACCACATGACACTGATCTCTGTTTTGGGTACCTATGTTTTTCCACAAACTGGTCTGGGAACCAAGGTTGAAAGAAAGGGTTTCTGCCATATGGAACAGCTATGTAAGGGAGTGACATCATTGGTGGTTGTTCACTCTCCCACTGCTGAACACCTGCTGAAAGAAGCTCCAAAAGAAAATGACTTGGAACAGGGGTAAGGAGCCCAAGCTGCAAAGCAAGTGCAGCTTGTGTCTTCAGCATCTGCAAGCCTGCTTGTATCATCAGTCAGGATGAAAAATTGTTAATTCATATCCAATCTTTCTAGTCTTTTAGGCTTAGTTTGTGGTTTTGTTTGTTTACTAGATAATCTGCTTTGAGCTGTTTGATATCACTTATAATCACTTCACTTCGATTTTTCTGTAGTTAATAATCTTGTTTAATGTTTTAATCTGAAACAGTTTGCTTCTGAGTTAAGTGTCAGGGGAAAATCTGAGGCCAGAACCTGGGAAAGGAGGATAAGGGAACAGATGGACACACACATGCACAGAATTTTTCTGATTATCATCTCCCTGACCCTCACCCCAGTTACTAGGTCAGTCTGTGCAGTCAGGTGATAATGGTGATGTCGCCAGTCCTTGATGTGGTCTTTCAAGGGGGTCTCTACTACCCCCAATTGGCTTTTTTCAGTTGGCCCCTAGGATCTAATTAGACCTAGCAGTCTATAGAGACAACCCAAGATAGAGAGGATGCCACTGTTTCTGCCCATGCCTATCCACCCTCTCTGTGCTCTCTCCTTTTATAGCTGGTTTTGTCTCCCTTACTGATTGCAGCTGTGGGAGCCTGCCTCTGTTATTGGCAGTAGAGGCAGCTGTGTGGGGATGTGGTCAGGCTGCTTGCTTGCAGGCAGGAGGGGCTCCCCTCCTCCTAAAAACCTTTGCTCAGTATGAGGTTTGTAGATTTCCCTTTACAAGTAGACAGGAGTGAAAGTGCATCATTTTTCAGGCCTGCTCTAAAATGCTGTCTCTGAATAACCAGCTGCTTTCTGTGCTCACATATTGGACACAGCTGCCCAGACCCCCATCTCCCTCCAGTTCTGCTTGCATTTCCTAGACCGGCTTCTCCACTAGGGATCCCCTGTTTCTAATCAGGTCCCTGTGGAGGAAGGGATGAGGAAACAGAAACACAAATCTCTTTCCCTCACCCACAAGCTGTCAGTCCCCGTTCCTTTCCTGGTGGGGAACTAAAGTAAAACTGGCCCATCAGGGCTGTGAGCAGGAAATCGCCTCCCTCCCCCAGGGCAATGACCCAAAGGCTCCCCACCAGCATACAGAAGCTGAATGTCCATGTGATAGGGGTTCAGGGGCCAGGTTGGAATGTGCTGGAATCTCAGTCTGGGCCATAGTGGGGCAGATGATCCCATCTCACACAACCACACCCAGCAAGGCCCGCACTGATTTTCTCCCTTTTTGTCAGCCCCAGCAGAGAGACCAGGGACTCATTGGCCCACAGAGACCAAGCTCCTGTCCCCTGGGTGAGGGCTGGGGCCCAATGGCTGAGGGCAGCGGGAGTGAGGGGATCTTGCACTAGGGGTCCTGCACTGCACAGGGTGTGGGATAAACAGAGAGCTCTAGGGGTGCCTGGTTCAATGCTGCGTGTGCTGGCCAAGAGGGCAGCAGTCACATCTGTTCTTAGCCTGGCAGCTACTGCTTCTGTTTCCCTGCACAGTCTCCCCAGCTCTCGTGGACTCCTGGCTCTTTGCAGATGGTAGCAGGTGTGTGGGGAGCTGGCCCAGGGGCTCCTGTGCTGTACAGGGGGTGGGCTAACCAGAGAACTCCAGGCCCCAAGGCTCTCAGGCCACTTGTCCAGTCTGGCTGCAGGAGGAGATCTGGGGACAGACAGAGGGGGCCTGGGTGACCCTGGGGAGCAGCCACATGGGACCAGAAATGGAACTCCAGCTGCGGTGAGAATGGAGCATTTGCCAGGGATGTGGGTAGTTACAGGGGCTGCCGTATAGCTGGTACAGTGATGCAGCTATTTAATTCATTGCACTGAGGAATTCATACATTCTTGCAGCTGGATGGTGTGAGCTGAAATTAATTATCTGCTCCTGTTTTGCTGGATAATGCATGGCTGGAGATTTCTAGCCATGAGTCACACTCCATTCTGCGGCTGTTTCATGTGGCTGGGCACTGCATCCAAGAGTCTATTGCGGCGGGTGGCTTTGAGATTAGATTCAACAGTGAATCTGGGGAGTGGCCTTCTGGAACCAGAACAGGAACTGCAACTGCAATGGGAAAGGCCTGCTGAGCTGAGATGCTGCTGGGGAAGCAGCTGGTTACTTCATGAGCAACGGGATACAATATTGTTACAGATCCTGACTCATACTGTGATGAGATACATTGTCATGATTATGAAAGACAAACTGGTTACACGGTTGTAAATTTCCTTCTAACCAGTCAGTCTTCCTGCTGTCAGCTCTGGTGGATGGGCTCAGGCAGAGGATCTCACTGCTGCTGGGTTGTTTTTTTTAGCTGGTGAACATATTGCCTGAGAATTGTAGTCATCAGTCAGACACACACAGTTACTTTTGGCCAACAGAAGTGACCTCCAGGAGCTTTGAGGAGGAGGCTGGTGAGATGAGTCCCTCAGTCCATGTGACTTGCAGCTGACTGTCCAATGAGACAATTCCCAGACTGCTGAGTGGAACAGGGGGATGGGGGAAGGGGGATGCTATCCAATGACAAGGACAAAACACATGGGCTCGGGTAGAGTGAAACGAGCCAGAAGCCATGAGTACAAATCATCTCACTTCTACTGAGTGCTCCCATCTCTTATGGCTGACCATGACTTCATATCCCCAGCCCTAGAACACAATCTAGAATTGGACACCTTTGCAGCCCATTGTGCTAATAAGTTAACAGAGAAGTTACACAAGGTCAAAATGGGGACTAGAACTAGGGTCTCTAGTGTGGAAGCCCCAGGTATTAGCTATTCATCCCCACTGGCTTTAGTCTCAAAGTGTCAAATATCCGTTGGCTCTCCTGTTGCTAACCGTTATGCCACACCAGGGGTATCAGAATAGGGTGGGCAGGGGGCCATGGCCCCATCACTTTTAAAAGTGGGAGGGTTATGTCTGCACTCTTTTTAGTGGCCACAAGGGTGAGGGACAGTGGGAGGGGCAGAGACTGAGCAGGAGATGGGGCCTCATGGGGGAAGGGGCAGGCAAGGGTGGGGCCTCATGGGGAAGGGGCATTGCAAGAGTGGGAGCTTGAGGGGAAGGGATGGCACAGGGGCCGCAGGAAAGGAGCAGTGCAGGGGGCGGGGTGATGGTTCAGGTGCTGGTGTCCTCCTCCCCTCCCCCCACACACACACTTTTAAGGAGCTTCCCTCACACCCACCACAGTGAAGCCAGCAATAGGAACCCAGAGTCCTGATCACAAATGTTCTACTGATGACTAGCAAATACTTGTGTAACCCACTGGAAAAGCATGTATCCTGTCCCTGCTGGTGGCTGTCCACACACAGCACAGCAATTATTCCCAGAGCTGAAGTGGTGGGGTGTGCGCTGGGGATCTGAAGAGACATGATTCAAATCCTGTAGCAGATCCAGAGGGAGGGGAACTTTGTAGTTCAGTGTGTTTTGTAGTTTCTATTTTGCTTTTTTTAAAAAAGCGTTGTTGTTAATGGTTTATTTTAGGGCTGTTGATTACTCACAGTAAACTCATGCAATTAACTACAAAAAATAATTGTGATTAATCACACTGTGAAACAATAGAATATCAATTGAAATTTATTAAATATTTTTGGATGGTTTTTCTACATTTTCAAATATATTGATTTCAGTTACAACACAGAATACAAAGTGTACAGTGCTCAGTTTATATTATTTTTATTACAAATATTTGCACAGTAAAAATGATAAAATAAATTGTATTTTTCAATTCCCTCATTACAAAGTACTGTAGTGCAATCTCTTTATCATGAGAGTTGCACTTACCAATTTTTTTTGGTTACATAACTGCACTCAAAAATAAAACAATATAAAACTTTAGAGCCTACAAGTCCACTCAGTCCTACTTCTTGTTCAGCCAATCGTTAAGACAAACACATTTGTTTGCATTTACAGCAGCTAGTCCAAGCCAGCCCCTTGCTGCTGCAGCCTCACTGCAATTGGTAGTGTGCTAGCTTCAGCAGTGTCTGCGTGTTTACATGTACCCAAGAATCACACCTCCCAGCTGCTGTTGAGACGTACCCTCAATTGAACTGGGATATTCTTAATGTAAGCAGGGTCTGGATGAGCTCTCCCCAACACCTAGTGATGAGCTGGGGAGAGGACTTTGGCTTTGTTTGCTTAGGCAAATCCACCCTGCCTAGGTGCTCAGCATGATGGGGCTGATTTTCCCAAATGGTCACTTTTGGCTGGTGTTGGATCACAAGTCACTTTGTTATTGGGGGCTGGGGTACTAAAGGGTTGTTATCCTTGTTGTGTGAATCAAGGGCAACAGAACTGTGCTTGGCATACCCTGATTGAGGGACTCATCTTCAACTAACTGCACTCGGTAGGCAGGAGACATGGGTGCCGAAACCCACTGGAGTTATGAGAGTATGGTGATATACTTGTGCCTGCTGGTGTGGGTCCCAGACACTATTTGATCCTTACTGTGTAATGACAGAGTGGATTAAGACTCAACTGGGAGTCTTGTTACAAACCAACAGAGCTGAAATCACTGATAATCAGGGCTCAGCATTAGGCCTACTGTGGGACAGTGTCTCTGGTACAATAGACTGCCCTGTCTGTGCTAGCAATGAGGCTTCCCACCTAACGGCTGAAATCACTGAGAGCTGTGCTAAGTGGTAGGACCTCAAGATATCCCAGAGAGTGTGGAATGGTGACCAAGTGGCTGATGAAGGGATGAGTGGAGTGGTGAGTGGCTGGCCAGGCAGACCGTGCCACAGCAAATGCCTGGACAGCTCTGAGTGAGCAAGCCGCACCCCCACCCCCATGCCAGGGGGAGAGGTGAACTCTGCAGATGCATCTCTGAACTCTGGGTCTTCATTGTGAGTGGGTGGGGGGAGAAGGGAGGGGCACGTTAAAGGAACTTTTGGTTGCTGGCCTTAAGACCCTGAGGCAAAAGGACACTGCCCAATGACCTGTGAGGTGGGTGTATGCACTGAACCCACAATAGGTGGGAACTAAACCCCATTGGGTTATTTCAGTGACAATGTGTGTGCAGAGGAGCCTTGGCTTAGCTGTGTCTTGCTGTACATCCAGCCACCGGCCTGGGACCAGCTGGGCTACAGGGGTTATGTAGAACCATGGAACCACGGGCTACATGGAACCATGGGTTAAGGTCAGAAGCACTTGGTTTGTGCTAGTGACAAGACATGAAAATGTCAGCAAAACATTAATCCAGAGCAACTCTTGAGCTGAAGGGTGATATTATGGTAAATCTCCTAAGCTTTATGACATCACAGTCTAAAGGTTACAGCCCAGCCCATCCAAAACACCATCTCAGAGCTGGAAAGAAGATTTTAGGTTTAACCTTTGTAAAACTCTGTAGACCAAAGGAAAAATAACATTCTGACTCAGGTTGTACCATTGCTCCTTTGACCTCAGCAGTTAGCCAGGGTTTGGGGCCATGCTAGGTTCTTCCACTGGGTGGAGAAATTGGAGTCAGGTATTTATCTTTGGTGCAATCTTTATTATTTACAAAGAATGTCCACACATTCCTGTGCCCTGAACACGGTAGAAACAAACAACTGCAGGCAGTTTCTTTACTCAAAAATCCACATCTGCTGTTCCAAGGAATCCTGTGCTTGAAGCAAGCTCTGTATCTTAGTTTCCTGTCAGGATCACATTCATGACTGCTTCTCTTGGCTCTCTGCCTCACGCACACCAAGCTGCCAGCCAATCCCTCTGACCGCATGTTTTCAGCTAGCTCCAGGGAAACCCCTCATAGGCCGGGTCTACACTTAAACATAGATCAACCTAGTGACATCACTCAGGGCTATGAAAAATTTTGTATCCTGAGTGCCACAGCTAGATTGACCTAATCCCCAGTGTAGACAATAAAATTCTTCCATTGACCTGACTACCACCTTTCAGAAAGGAGGATTAACTAGAGCCATGGAAAAACTACTTCTGTCAGTGTAGGAAGCATCTACACTACGGCACTTCAGTGACACAGCTGTAGCTCTTCTGTAGTAGTG